CTCAAATGTGACCTTCTTTGGAAACAGGGTCTTTACAGAGGTAACCAAGTAAAAATGAAGAGGGCCCTAATCCAATATGACTGGAGTCTTTATAAAAGGGGGAAATTTGGATGCAGAGACAGACGTGCACAGAGGAAAGACGGCGGCAGTGTGGAGACAGAGACGCAGGAAGAGCGCCACGTGAAGATGGAAGATTTCAGCGAGGCATCTACAAGTCCAGGAACACAAAGACTGCCAGAAAACTCCCGTGAAGGAGCAAGGAGGGAGTCCCCTGTGGGTCCAGAGGGAATATGGCCCTACTGACACTGTGATTTCAGACCTCAGCCTCCAGAACTGAGACAATGAACTTCTGTTGTTCTGGGCCACCCAGTCTGTGGTCCTTTGTTACAGCAGCTCTAAAAACTGATACATCTGCTTAGCACTCCACACGCACTATCCTATTACATCCAGAGCAACCCTAAGAAGCAGGTAATACAGTCTCTGCCAGGGACACTGGAGCTCAGAGAAGTCAGTCAAGTTGTACAGTGACCACCATCCCAGCTTGCCCAGGACCGAGATGTGCTCAGGACACAGGACTTCGAGTGCTAAAGCTGAGAGAGTCCCAGGCAAACTGGAACAAGTCAGTCACCCAACCTGCCTGAAATCTGCACAACTAGTGTTAGGCAGAGCGAGTGTCCCCTGCGCCCGACTGCTGCATTACAAGTTCAAAGCACAGAAAGGCTTCCAGTTAGCACACCTCAAACGAACGCTGCGAGCTTTCTCCCTTCTTATGCCAGAAACAGAAGTCAGCAGGAATGCTGGGCAGCCCCAGGTGACCAGGCAAAGGCTGAACGTTACTGAGGATTTCTTCCATCTTAACAGGAAATGAGCCTCACCGAGCAGCGTAGTCGCCTGCCCAGACATTCCGCATCTCTGCTCCTCATGCCCAGGGGGCCTCCAGCCCCAGACCCTGCTCCCAGGACAGTTCAGAGAAGCCAGAATAAGAAGGTGAGTCAGGAAAATAAAATTGTCCCTCCCTTCTTAAGGCTGGGGTCCAGCCTGGCTAAGAGGTGTACACATGGGAGTCCCTGAGGCCTGGGGGCTTTTATAACAGCCTGGCCTCCACCTGGACTTTCACCACCTGTACAGGCTCCCTAGTGAGTAGAAGATAAGCTCATCCTGTCCCCATGTGGAGATAAGATCTGGGGGTCCCAGAAACAGTATGAGGAGGCCACCACCACGCTGGGCCAGGCTTGCATCTGCTCCTATCTATCCCTGTCCTGACCACCGTGTGCAACAGCAGCGTGGTGTGGCTGGCCCACAGGGGGCGACAGGGAGTGGAAAGGAATGAGGCCGGCGATGGGCAGGGCCTGGACACGAAGGCCTCAGATTCCACAGGGGGAAAGCTGGGACTCTGCCCACAGGTAAGGGGGTACCCGTATGGTCCAAAAAAATAAAAAATAATAATATTCACATTTTTGCATTTCTGCCTGGCAGGCTTCTAGGTCCTGGGGGCTCAGAGCTGCACAGTAGAGGACACAGAGGCCCAGGGCAGTTATACACATAGCCGGAGGAAACAGGACTAGACCCTGGGCCACACCCGCTGCTCACTGCCCACTATGCCACCTGCTCTCTCTAGACCAACTCAGTGAAAAGACTTCATATAGGCCTAGGGTTCAAGTACAGCTGCCACATAAAAACCAAGACTAAGGGAGGCAGGCAGTCTCCTTTGGGCTGTGCGCGGCAGGGAAGAATGCCAGTCATGCCAGGGGTCAGCGGGCAGAGCAGGTAAAACTCCGCCTGCGGCCCGTTCCCACTCCTGGCCCCAGAGCCCTGGAATCACATGGTGTGAAGAGGGCGCCGGGAGGATTCCTGTAACTGCTGTATGAGCACAAAGTCACGGGTAATGAATGCGGGCTCACAGCCCCGCTCCAAGCATGGCTGTGAGCCTGCCAATGACACCACGCAGGGAAGGAGTCAGCACGGCCGGGCCATGGGACCATGACGTGCCTCCCGGGGGAGAGTGTTCTGTTCACACTCCTGGGCACAGGCTGGGACTTCTCGGAGGACACAGTTAAACTTTCACTGCGATGGGAAGTAGTTAACAGACAAGCAGTGGTGGTCCAGTTTCCCTTCCTGGCTCTGTGTACACTTGCGTGTGACCTTGGTCATCTCACCTCTGGGAGCAGGCCCTTGGCGCTGGCCTATGACACAGTGAAAGCACATGTTGGCAAATCCTCCACCTTTTGGGGTGCTCAAGTAAGTCTTGAGCAGTTTTTAGCATTACTCATTTAATCCAGTGCCCAATGAAGTAGATCCTATTACTCTCCCCATCACCTCTAGGGTCCAGGAGGGGCTGCAGATGCAGGCGTGGAGACTGAGCTACAGGATGAAGCCATAGGACAGATGAGGTCACCAAGGAAAAAAATGCAAGAAGAACAAGGGGGATCCAGAATCGCACCCTGGGGAGCCCTCCTCACTCTACCCCATTAGGGGAGACATGGAGAAAGTGAGGGCACTGACCTGTCCCAAAAGCCAAGAAGGGTGAGTGCTGAGGAAAGTCAGGCAGAGGAGGGCGGAGGGAAAAGCACCTGCGCTGGACAAGAAGTTCACTCTGGGAGGCTGGGCACAGAGGGAACAAGGCTGCAGAGACTGGGCAGGGGGTGGGCGTGAAGAGGTGGGGAGACACCTCTCCTCTGGAACTCCAGCAGGGACAAGATGACAGCTACAGCCAGGGGGCTGGTGAGATCACAGAGGGGTTGGCAGGAGAGATGCCCTGCACTGGTAGCAGGCAAGGGTGAGACTTGCGGAGAGGGAAACATTGCAGACGACGGACTGTGATGAAAAGGGGATGTGCCAGGAAGACTGACTGTCAGTGGGGGAGAGACAGGACCCAGGCCCTGCACCGGGGTCAGCTTGAGAGCCAGACAGAACCTCTTTCTCTGAGCCTAGGACAGAGCATAACTCAGGGCTTAGGGGAGACAGGCTCCTGTAGCTCAGAGGTATGGGAGGGAGTGGGGGGGTAGGAAGGAAGGGGAGATTATTTTCCCCAAAGTGAAGGGGTAAGGAAGAACTGGAGGCTTGTAGAGAGAGAAAGAAATTTAAAAATTAGTTGCTGTGGGATGTGAGGCCACAAAACACCAAAAGACAATAAAAGACCAGCAGAGCAGAAGCGAGGGTCCAGTTGCAGCTGTGCAGCATCTGCTTTTAGGGGGTCGGGGTGACTCCTGCAGCTGTGCTCCAGCCTGAGGACCACGGAGGGAAGTACCGAGAGTCAAGAGCCCCTGGTGACAGGTGCTGAGTGACTGTGGGTGTCCGCATGGGAGCCCGTTAATCCTCCTGTACTCTCTGAGGCAGCTGTGGTCACCCCCACTTCCAGGTGGAAGGTTTGGAAATGGTGGAAACAGCTTTGGGATTCTAATCCAGGCTTCCTGGTTGAAAATCATATGTTCCTTTTCTCCCTCTCAGCAAACCTGTCCGACCAGGGCCCTCAGGAAGGACAGACTGATCCTACAAAGAGGGGGAGCTCTGGCAAGGACTTCGGAGCCCAAGAGGAAGCAGTGTCTACAGTGCGGGGACGTGAGGATTGCTAAGCAGTCAGGCAGCTGTGGGCCCAGGCCAGATTCAGGACAAACCTTGCGAGTTCAGGAAGCAGCCACTGGCCAAGTCTTGCTCCCTCAGTGGCCCTAACTGAAAAATCTGAACCCTGCCAGGAAGCAGGCCTCAGGGGGAGAGGAGCCCTCAGGAAACAGCTTTGGGGAGGCCTCCACAGGTTCAGGACCGCCCTGGGGAGCCCCAGGCAAAAGGTGCCTCTCCAAAGAAAGAAACAAAACAAACAATAAATATTCCTACCCACTCATCCCCTCAAAGACGACTATTAAAATGAAAGCATAAAATAGATCAGAGTGTAGAACAGGAAGGAACACATGTGTAGCCATAAAACCTAACAGTTGCTGTGACCAGGCAGTCCATTTTTCTTGAGTCTTTTGGAAACCAAGGTTTTTGGCAAACATGACAGGCTTCCTGCAACTCCTCACAGAGGACAGCCCGACACTAAATTCTAAAATAAATCTGCCATGTGGAGCCTCGTACAAGGCACCTCACGTGGTGTTATGGGTAATGCTCCCAAGGATGGGCTTGACTGTCAACCAGACGTGTTTTGGCTGTGCTCGATACAGTGGTCCCTAGGGATGGCCCGAGGGGTTGGGAATATTCCAGATCAGACTCTTTTTCTCCTGAGCCCACACTGGCAAGAAAACAACAAACCTCTGGCTTGGCCGTCTTCCTCCTCTGGAACAGGGAAATGAATCTGAGGCTGGGAAAACATTTCTTTATATAAGCTCAGGGTTTCATGTGCTGTTTACACTTCAGTGATATTAAATAGACCAAATAAAGATTTTCCCGTTGAACTAAAAACAGAATGGGAGCTGAAGGCAACTGCTCATCACAGCTGGACTGAAAGAATGCTAAACCCTGAGCATTCTGATCAGAAATAACAGTATCGGATGCCAATGGGTTTTATGTAGGAGGCACCCGGGGTCTGAGCCAGCTCTCAGGATTAGCAGCAGCTGCCTTCTGGGTTAATGAAAAGCCAGAGATATTTATGATTGCTAATAACAATATTTAACCCCATCACCTGTGTTTACCATTGGGCTATAAAGGGGTTGGTGAGCCTATACTCCTAGCTGGCATTAAAAATGATACTCAGTCACAAGAAAGGAAAATTATCATTAACCAACTGTACACATGGGGTTTTTGAAAAGCTGATATAATAGGAGGCAGTTCTGAGACTAGGATCATTTTAATTAAAAAAGAAAGAAATCCCATTTTGATCCTTGGCTCACTGACTATCTGGATGGGGCCTTATTTCCCAGTCCTTTATCCCGGGGGTTGCTTCCCCCTGGTGTGGACTGAGGAGCAGGTGGGAGCTGGCCACTGGGGAGCAGTTCCTTAAAGTGACTGCAGAAGCCTGGGACTTTGCCAAGGCAACTGAGCAGCCTCGAGCAGCCCTTGGAAAGACCTGAAGCCATCTGAAGCTCTCAAGTTGGTATTTTTCATCCTACCTGCCAGCTGCCTGGGTGGGATGAATTGCCTTTTCACTGGGCTGGGTCATCTTTACCTCCATGGCCAAGGAAAAGCTCTCCACTTAGGCCTAACTTGCCGCTACCTGTTTGTACTCAGCTACCAACAATGACACAGCAGGGCCCAGGAGCCAGAACATCGAACACATTTAAAACACACCAAGCAGGGCCTCTCTTTTGCCACCTGGATCCTGGACTCATGAGGAGAGAAGAAAGATCAGGTGGACGTGAACCCTCATGCATAGTAAGAGACACCATGGCATTATTTTTAACTTGAGAACAGAGACCCCAAATGTATTGGGGGGGAGGGGGTTACTCTTACAGTCTGGTGCTGGGACAATGGGAACAGGTGGGAGGCGGTAGGCTCTGGAGTCAAACCGTGGCTCCACCTCTTACACACTGTGTGACCCCAGGCAGTCACTTAGCCGCTCAGGCCTTCAAAAGCCAGTGCAAGGTTCATGCACTACACCCAGCACCTAGGCAATCCTTGGGAAGGTGACAACTGTCATAAATGGAAACACGGCTTTGGAGGAAGAAGAGAAAAAAGGCATTCTCTAGATTTAAACAGACCAAAGCCAGTAAAATACCTCTATTTAACTGAATTTTCCTTCAACTCTAAGTCAATCAGAAACACCCCTGTATCAGGTGAAACTATATATGGGTGAGAAAACAAATACTCCTCACCTTTGTTCTGAAAAGAAATCATTTCACCAAATTTAAATCCATCCCTTCTCTTTCATACGAGTTAGATTTGAAAACGAAGCCCAAGCATCCAAAAGTCTGAAAAACTTGTCTCTCCATTAGAATTCCCTGAATCTATCAGTTTAAACAATAATATCCTGAGCACATATGGGAAGCAATGGCCTCAGAAGGGCTGGGAACATAAAAGTAACATGGCCAGCACTTATTGAGCATCAGATACAATGGCAGATGGAAAAGAGCCGGTGATTCCCCTTCAGCCTTGAGAAGAGGTAACCAGCTCAGAATGGCACTGTCCCTATGCATCGGAACCTCCAGTTCTCAGCCACCCTGAGATGGGGGGAAGGTGGTAAATGTGCGAAAGTGTGAGAAGTGACCAGAGGCAAGTGTTTCTTCCAATACAGAAGATTTTGAAAAAATTAATTTGTATTTCAGATTTTGATGTCAATCCTTTATACACATAATTTCCTAAATTTTACTCAGCATCACCCAAGGCTTTTAGGTTTTGTTTGTGTTGTTTAATTAAGAATGTGCCCAAAGCAAATCGAGAGGTAAAGAATTTTCTAAGTGTCTATGTCCAGTTTCTCCAGTACCACTTTCAGGAGCAAGGCATACACCTGAGTTGTCACTGAATGTACGTCCCATCAGAGGTTTCTTCTGGTATCCCCAGGTAGCGTGTAAATGAAAGGCTGAGATCAGCGAATGTAAGTTCTCAAAACGGCCACTGAATGTCCCGAATCCTTGCCCCATGATGTTTGCACACTTTCTCTCTCTCTAGGGCTTTGGGCAGGCAGTGGGGACATGGCCACTGGTTTCTAGTGAGGTGGTACTGCATCCCCAGGATATGACTTAACCACTCTGAACTTTCCTTCATTAAAAATAAGGAAGTAAAATCTAAAACCCTTGCGATTATACTTAGTGTAGTTTGGAAAATTATCTCCATTCTCTACAGTGCAAGGCCAGGGTGACTGTACCCGGCTACCCCCCAGTGTTGCTGTAAGGATCAGATGTAAGTGACACTCCTTTTAAAACTGCAGAAAGCATTCACACGGAAGGTACTGTTATTGTACTGTGAATGCCTCAGAGGTTTATGTATTGCTAATTAGTGTGTAAAGTCCTTAAAGTGAAAGTCTACAGCATATCATTTACTTTCCATTGCACTCACATAGTGCTAGCTACCAAATCCCACACAATTGCTCGCTGAACTAATGAGTCTCAGAGCCTCAGCTCTAAAGGCACGTTGCCTGTTACGGCTAATACACTGTTATCCATAACCACTCTGGAAACTTCCACTTCACGCCTCCCTCCTGGTGGCTCACTATGGTGACGACCAAGCAATCTTCCATCATTTCCATAAGGCATGAACTTTCCTCCCCTCCTCCAGCTGAATCCTCCATGAAAAATCCTCTTGAATTTCCTTTTTCATGCAGGACAACCCACTCATCACCCCACGACGTGCAGTACCTGTTCCCTGCTCCGAGTGATCCTCTCAGACAGCAAATCCGAGTTATTTCTTTCTTCTTCCAGCTCGATCTCCAGTTGAGACACCTTGTCCTAAGAAAGAAGACAGAAACACAGCCCACTAACTTACACTGACCTGGGTAAGGAGGAGGACGGCCCTGTAGAAGGAAACCCCAAGGACACATCAGAGCTGGGTGTCAGGAGGGTTTGGGGAAGGATGTGTTTATTTCTCATACTGCCCGAAGCAGGTATTTTTAAAGCCATGTTTTATTGCTTTCATAATGTAATTATGCAGTTAGGAAATACAATAAAGGAGAAAAATACTACCCTAAACCCTAATGTAAGCACCGAGGATACTTAAGCACATCTCTTTCAAATGTTTTTTCCCCCCTTCTGAAACAATAACTACTAAGATCTATCTTAGCCTAAGGTGTCTAAGTTACCTGAGGGAAATGAGATATCATCCAAGGCACATTCCTCTCACTACTCCAAGCTCAGGACAATGGACAATGTTTTGCCTGCCTCCTGCTTAAGGTTTCCAAGAGCCCTGCAGGAGTTAAATCTTTAACAGCCTTTTGCACCTGCCTCTTTCTTCTAAGGAACCTCACTTAGCGCTGTGCAGTCCCCAATTCACATCGGAGTAACATAAAGACAGCATGACCCATTCTGCTAAACCAACCGTCACAGAAGAAGGGTAATTTCTATCTTCCTTGCTGGCTCCTAATGGAGCATCATTGTGCATTAGGAGAAAAGAAATAGCTTTGCGTGAAAAAGAGTGGCTTCTAACATAAACCACTGCACCTAGCACTGGGGGCATGGTCTTTGTGCATGGGTTTCCACTGTCACCAGCCAGTGCGGCATATGTCTGGGTTTTAACTCAGAGCCATATACATGAAAGTGCAACCAGCACTATGAGTTTTTAAACACAAGTCTGAGGCATCTATAGTAAATACTGTCTCTGCTGTTGTCTAAGTTGACTGACAAGCTATGGGTGCCTCTCTAAGAAAAGTCACAGAACTCATATGAGTGACAAAATGTCTATGCATGCCTTCCCCATTATTGATGGAAATCTGTAGGAAACCCAGACAGCTCTCTCCTGGTAGTCGAGAGTCCCAACGTCCAACTCAGGACAGACAGCCGAGTCCTGCACCAAACCTCCTATATGCTCAGTGGCCCTGACTTCTTGACACCAGCTTCACTGAAGTTGGAAACCACTGACACACACATGCCACATTTACACAAGACTACCACCTGAGTTTACAGAAAATGCTCCTGTTGACAGAGCTCAAGTCCTGAGAATTGAAACGCTAGTGAAGGAAAAGGTAAGATACCAGTTACCGCAAGATAGTCGTGCCAACTGCCTCTTAGGGGAGGAAATACCCCCCCAGGGTGCTTCACAGGATGGGGCCTTGAGAGCTACTCATTTTGTAATTAATGGAGAAATATCTAAATTACTGCAGAGGGGCAAATGAAGCTTAGCTATGCCACTGCTTCTAGACTTTGAGTTAGCAAAAGGAAATGTTCTTTTTAGTCAGAATCTTTCAGAAGGGGATGACCTGACAACCCAGTGTTTAGCTAAAAGCACCTCTTCACAGGGTTCTCTCCCCCCTAGAATGTGTCTGGTACAAAACCCAGCAGGAGCACTCAGGGGGCACAGCCAAGGATCCTTACACCAAAGGCTCATGTGTCACTGCCTGATGAGGCTTTAGCTTGCTTTTAACCAGAATGTTTGGGTCCTAGAATAACTGCTTCCTAGTTAACAGGGTTGAACATAGCTTGCCTCAAGATGACCTCCCCTAATGAGATCAGAACCAAGACATTAGCAAAACATATAGCAATCTTAGAAAACTGTAACCAGGTTGTCCCAGCCTCTAAAATGGGCCCATCTAGCCCGGGCGGTGTGGCTCAGTGGTTGAAAGTCAATCCATGAACCAGGAGGTCACAGTTCGATTCCTGATCAGGGCACATGCCCGGGTTGCGGGCTCGATCTTCAGTAGGGGGCATGCAGGAGGCAGCCAATGGATGATTCTCTATCATCATTGATGTTTCTCTCTTTCCCTCTCCCTTCCTCTTTCTGAAATCAATAAAAACAAATTTAAAAAATAAAATAAAATAAAAAGGGTGCATCTAATAAAATTTGTAATGGCTGAAACATTACTTCCTACACATGAACTGTTACTAAATCCCCTGGAGATTTTAAAAGTTCTTTATATTTATTTGCAAAGTTGAATCAGGAATTCCATTGATTTTAAATTTAAGCTCTCTCCCTGGCCCTGAGCTCTCTCTGCCTTTATCAAAACGTTGACAATTTTAACTTCTCCCACAGGTCTGAGGAGGGTTTTTAGGTCTCTTTCTTCCTCTCTAAGTTCCACTGGGGTGTGGAGTGTGGTGGTGGTGG